TATAAAAGTTAAAAAAATAATTTAACACTTTATAAAAACTTCTGGTTATAAAGTGTTACAAGTTCTTTATTTATACTATGTTACAAAAAATATATCCAAACGCATAACTATTTATTACCTTTCATATGACACCAACATTACACATATAAAAATAAAAATAAAATCTATTAAGACCTATTATTTTGTTTAAGAATATATATCAGACCAAACTCAAACAAATCAGACTAAATAAACCAAACATTTAACATAGACTTACTAGACTTGGATAAATGTTTGATCTGATGTTTTTAAATATTGTCTAGTAGATTTTTAAACGAACCAAACATTGGCTTTATAGGAGAAAAGATGTTTACCATCATTTTCAAATACATCACTTTTATTTATTGTTTTATTCTTTGAGCTAGAATTTGTGCATATTTGTTCTAAGCTGTCACTCCAAATCAATAGTGTGCATGATAAAAATTGATTCTAAACAACAAAAAGTAATAGTTTTTTTATACATGCAATATTAGTATCTTATGAAAGATAATAAGAAGTTATAAATTTATATATAATTCTTGTAGCAAATGAAGTACAAAAAGATGTTATAACACTTTAAAAAGCATAAATTTTTTTAAGTGTAAAATTATTTTTCTATATTTTTATATGCAATATTAGTTTCATATGAAAGATAATAACAAACTATAAGTTTTGATACATTTTTTGTAACAATCGGAGTACAAATAAAAAAGTTACACTACTTTTTTATATATTAAATATTGATATCATACGAAAGATAATAAAAAATTATAAATTTTGATATATTTTTTGTAACAATCAGAACACGGATAGAAAAGTTATAACCCTTTAAAAATAATAAGGGATTTTTTGGCCCAATATTCATTTTCTCTTGTGCGCCACGTGTTGCTACATGCATTCAGGGCGAATTATATCGTGGGATCGGCCCACCATGCTCATGGTGTGCCAATCCCAAAACTACACTGTTTTATTAATTGAAAAAGAGAGCAACTCTTCTGAAAGAGAGAAGACTGAACGGCGACCTTCTTTGCCGGCAACCATCCCCTGTTCGTAGTTATCCTGCTCGGCTGCCCTTTTTGTTTCGCTTACATAGATGACAAGTTCCTTCGTGTTTGTATGCTAGGGCTGCTGCTGTCTGATCTATTCACTCATCTTGGCCAACAAAAGTGAAAAATATCCCACCAATTAAATTCATATATATATATATATATATATATATATATATATATATATATATATATATATATATATATATATATTGTCGGCGAACATTTGCCAAGTTTTATTAAAAATAATTGAAAGATACAAACGGAGGGGGGACTGGGCCAAAACCCCTCCAGAAGAAGCACACTTCTTCGAAATACACAAAGCAAAACAAGAAGAAACAACAATTGGGGGGGCTAAACCTGACCCAATTGAAAAAACAAAACACCAAAGTAAATAAAAACAACAATTAGGGGGGCTAAGCCTGACCCAATTACAACAAAACAACACACAAAACCAACAAAAACCGCTAACGACTTACTCTAATCGACGGGAGCCCAAAAAGATCCATAAAGTATGCATTACGGGCCTGGATTGGTAAATCAGCAACCCGCAAGAAATAAGTTGGCCGGTCCATCGGAGTGGTAGCAATGAAGTGGGCTACCCAATTTGCCTCTCTCAAAATAGCGAAATAGGAAACCCCTTTGCTATCAGACATATCCAACAACGATCTTATCTCTCCGCTCCACCTCCCATTTCCGTTTCGATGCAGATGAACCAACGCTTCCCTGGAGTTAGTTTCAACTTGAAAATCCCCAAATCCAGCTTCAATCACCCAGACCGTAGCATGAATCACTGAGAACAGCTCTGCTTCAAAAGCTGAAAAGGCAGAAATCAGGAAGGAGGTCGCCATGACCATCTTACCTTCTCCGTTCCTCAAAATAGCACCATCGGCGACTCTCTGAGGTGAGTAACTAGCGTCTATGTTAAGTTTATAGCCTCCTTTTGGTTTTCTCCAAGTTATAGCTTTAATCGAGGGTCGGGGTAGTCGAAGCGACCTAGGTATCAGATGCTCTTCATACAAAATCTCGCTAATACTGATAATCTTCTTGGAAGAAAGACTAGATACCCAGTTCTGAGTAAAAGATTTAACCTGATGAATGAGAGAATCCACAGAAGGAGATATGCCATCTGAACCCCAAACCAGACTAGCATAAGATTTCCATATCTGCCAATAAATAATCCCTGGTAAACAGTGTTTAAAAGTATCATCCAACCTTTTAGAACCTGCTTTAAGCCACCAAGAAATGATAATTTGTCTGATTGTTACAATATGGTGAAGATGGGGTATACCCAATATTCCCATAAAATACTCCCAAACTGGCTTAACCTTAACACAATTGTAAAAAACATGACCAACTGAGTCAGCCTGAACCATACAAAGAGGGCAAATAGAGGGATTAAGAACAACTCTGAATCTGCACAAACTATCCGTAATTGGTAAGATACCTTTAAGAAGCCTCCATTGAAAAAGTCTTATCTGCACAAATTTTTAAATTCATATATATAAAGAGAAGCAAATTTTTAAAGAGAAGCAACCAAGCAAATTTTATATATGGTGTGTATGTATATATATTAATTAATACATGGAGTTACATTTTGAGTTTGTTTATTTTGATTCTTGAAGTTACATTTAATAATATATCATGAAATTACATCTTCTTCTGTGCAAGTTACATCTTAATGTACGCGAGTTACATCTTAATATATGCGAGTTACATCTTAATGTATGCGAGTTACACCACGGAATAAACTCCAGCTATATCATTTTTATTATCCTAATATTAAAAATAAAACATATTCACTATTTATAAAAAATTAATTAAGCTATTGGGATCAATTTTTCATTGTTTACATTGAAATCAATGTTTATAATATCTCAAACACACAAAAAAATCATTGTTCAATTTTCCAACAAGTTACATTCTGTAACAACACGAGTTACATAAAAAATCAACCCCGGCTATTGAAACAAATAAATAATTTTCTAAAAATTATTTTTTATGGTCATGACATTAAAAACAAAATATATTCCTGTTTTACCTAAAACAATTGTGCCATTAGACTCTCATTTTTCATTGTTTACATTGAAATTAATATTTTATTTCTTATACTATGTATTTGCCAAGTTACATTTCGAACGGACTTTAGTTACACTGATCAATAACGCGAGTTACATATCTTTACACGCGAGTTACATCATTCATGCTATTGGGACAAAAAGCAAAAAAAAAAACACCTACTGTACGCGCAAGTTACGTGTACTGTCCACGCGATTTTTTTTTTAAATTGTGCAAAACTACGTCATTTTTGGGAGTAGAGTATCATGCCCAAGGTGCGTCGGTTGCACCGTATACGAACTGTTCAGGGTATTTGATTTTGCCTAAGCCCCCAACTAGATCGGTGATTTTATTAACTAAAGTTAATTGAGCATTACTTTCGGAAATATTTCTAACAACACTCTAATTTTATAATTATTTTTTAGTTTAACATTATTCTAGGAAAAAACTCATCATTAAAATTTATAAAAGTTAAGTATTTGGATACTCGGTATATTTTTATAAAAATTGGACTACAAATTAACACTTAAAAAAGAGATTTTTACCACTTTTCTCCTGCGTAGCTAGGCAGCCCCTATTGCTTTGTTTTCAAGACAGTGAGAGGGGATTAGTTCCCCACCCAAGGGTACCCTATACCCACGCTCTGATTCGATAAAATAATGGAAGAATAAATCACGATATGATTTCAAAACAGTTTCTGAATGAAGTGATTCACAACCTGATGCACACAAGGAGTCACTACATCGGATGAAACTCTCACAAGTCACAACATCCATCTACACGTTTTTTACATGGAGATGAAGGAAAAAATAAATTTCTACTTTTTCACCCATGAGGTTGCAATTTGCAACCGGCCTTATACTTCAAATTATATCATACAAGTGCTCACGCAATCAATGTTTCATCTTATCTCAAGAGGCAGTTTCTCCCGAAGTTCTGCTAGGAACCTGAGATGGTATACTTATAACAGTAAGAACCTAATAAATTATTCTCTGAGCTGTTTAGGGTGAGTGCTTGAGAACTCATGAATCCATGATTGTTTGGTTGAATCAAGATCACCTTATGTGATATTGCTCGTTGCTATTTGCGATAAAGTTAATACTTTATTGACAATATTTAAATCATCGTTAGTATATAAAATTTAGATGTATAGGAAGTGTATTTAAAGTTTTAAACTTTTAATGAATGGGAAAAATAAAATTTGAATTTCATAAAAACAATGACAACCCCAAATTATTAAATATGAACGAGATACATCCATCCCCGGATCAACAGAGCCGCGGAGTACCTTGCTTACGAGAACATTTCTATTAAAACCAGTAATCATCATTTTAATCATTTTGTTGACATTCTCAAATTTGATGCGATTAGCTTTCCTTATGTACTTTAATTTTAATAGGTTTTGATATAGTCCTCCTACTTTTGTATCCTTTTGGCTTTTTCTATCTAATAAACAGGTAGAGTGTTCCCTAGCCCCTACCCCGGGAGACTTTAAGGTATCCTGTTCCTTCACCGGGTTCAAAAAAAAAATTAAATATGAATGGGATGGGGTGCATGCAAAATTTAAAACGGATCTTTTTCTAAATCTTGAAATCACTAATTTTTGCATTAATGATTTATTAATATTAATGATTACGTCTTGATTTCCCTGCAGATCAATGATATGGAAATGCAACCAAATCTTGTGTATATATATTTGCATATATATGATATGATATGACGCTGGTTTTTGATAGGATAGATGCGGGGAGTATCTGGAGTTTGTACTATGTAGTAGCACTCCAATATAAATCTCGGAAGTAATTTAGATTAAACTCGCTCATTGCAATCGCAAATTATTTTTAATACTTTTTTTAAATTTGAAATCTCTAATTTTTGCATTAATGAATACATATATTACGGTTTATTACCTTTGATTACATTAGATCCTGATCACACTTTATCCACATGTATATATTATTATTATTATTATTGCACATACACATTCGTCATAACTGGCCTTCAATCCAAATGTAGAGGGAGTAGAAGCGCAATGTCTGAGAAATGTCTCATAATGACTTCTTTAGCACTGCTACTTTGCCACCCGAGTTCAACCATTAGATGTTTCAAACCAAAGCCAAAGCCAAGTGTCGTTTCTCCTAAAAGAGAAATGCACAAGCCTCCTCCTCCAAAGAACAATCAGAACCCTAAACCCCAAGAGTGTTTAGATTCCCATACTAAACGGGTTCTTTCTTTTCCAAGGAACAAAGAGATTCAACTATTAGAAGAGCTCACCGGAGGGGATCCCACATTGAGCGTTGTGGAGGCAGTTTTTCAGGCAGGGTGGAAGAATAGTGTTGGGTACAAAATCCAAAAGGTTTTTAGAGTGAATCAAAGTGAAGAAGTTTACAAGAGGTTTGAAGAGTATAGAACGATGGTGAAGTCAAAGAGAACGGAGAGTGGAGTGGGAGACGATGGGCATGAGGTTTTGAGGTTCAGAGGCACTGCCATCACTTGCTCATTAGGGTTAGATCAATTCTTGAAGACCTGTAAGAGGAGGAGTTGTGGGGGTTGTAGAATCATCACAGGCCGTAATTATAAGAGTGATGATGTAGCAACAATGGAGGGGTCATCGATAACGCTTTCTAAGACTAGTTGGAGAGCGCATAGAAGAGTTGAGAAATGCAGCCGTGAACCCACCAGGGCAGCCATCGTGGTGTGCAGAGTTATTGCTGGCCGGGTTGCTCATTACTGCAATAACAGAAATATTATAGTAAGCACGGAAGAAGAAATTGAAAGTTTCGATTCTGTGGAGTATATGGATGGTTCTGAGAAGCTAATGGTTTTGGATTCAAGAGCTATATTGCCATGCTTTTTGGTTTTGTATAACCTTTAGCCAATTTGACGCACTATGAGGTTCTTCTGTTTCACGTTTTTTAATACTTTGGTCAAAACATGCCAATATCAAAAAAATGTGGTGGCAGTTTCATAAATATTCTGCCAATGTGAAAAAGTGCTATATACAAACTTCATAGAGCATCACATTGGATTAAAAGTATTGCTCAAATTGCTCTCACGTTAAACATTGTTCTCATTTGATCATAAATCTGTTTATACACACACACACACACACACACACACACACACACACACACACATAATGACCCTTTTTGCTCATTTTTAGTTGAAACATGGGGCCTGTTCAGTAGGGGTAAATCTCAGTCCGGTTCCGGGTCATGGAAAGGGTGGAACCATAACCAGATGTATCCGACCCAAATTCCAGTTCAGTGCCTTATTCTTCTTAGAAAATAAAAAACAGTCAAATTTTGAAGGAACTGTGTTTGGATCGGTTCCTACTACTAGTTTCAGGTTACAACCATATATATAAACATACCATTGTTTGGTAGCAAAAGTCATTTATTCCGATAATTCTACTCATGGACATAATATAGCTTTCGACTTACGAATTTGGTTGCAATGGATTTTAGAGGCCACTCCTTATTTTCAGAAAATTCAGCAAAATAAACCACATGCATTACATATAAACTGAATAGCTCTTACCAAATGAGTTCATAGTTTATCTTTTCCAGATCTCTGCTTTGCATGTAAATGCTGACAGGTTTTTAATAATAAAATCATCGCATCATGTTTCTTGAGGCGAGTTTGTCGCCAAGTATGGTAACCTTCCACGAATCCACTTGTAGCATAAAAACAGAGAGTTTCTTGGGCACAACTGCAATTCATCACACATTGCCATATATTTATGAGAACGGATGAATTGATAAGAATAACACTTCAGCATTTAAAAAAATGCAAAGAGAACCATCAGAAAATAGTTTTGCATGCTAAAATTGGGACAGAAACCTTTGAATATATTGTCTTCTGTAATTATTCCAAATGTTTCTACAGTTTCACGGATCATGATACCATGCAGTCCAGTATACCCATCTAGCTTGCAAGCAGCAACTGAAAGAAACGTCATAATTAGCAACAGACATGGTGCACCATATAAAAACAGCATAATGTTCTACGTGAAACATTAGCAAGATGATGGCTTATACAGTACTGATATAATGGTCTAATCAACGGATTATGCATTGTACATCATGGTTCTATTTGTAAAATTTACCATTTATTCAACAAAAAACTAGTTGTCACAAGAAGTCTTGTAGCTTTTGCGTTTCTGGTTTAAAATGCTTATAATTGTTTCTGGGCATTTAAAGTGCGCCTATATATGAATATAGGCAATACTATATAAATCTGTAATTAGTAATTAGTGTATAAATCAACCGAGAATGTGTTATTATTCTAGGTTAGGGCTTTTTACTTAATAAGTTACTATTATGATTATGCTTTTCAATACAACAATTTATCCCATCTGTGTAATAGGACATTTTAGCAATGTGTACCCATGATTCGTTTTCTTCACAGTATTCTTTTAAGTTTGTTGTAAATGTAAACAAAAGAAATACAATCAACCTAGAATAAGTGCGCCATGCAAGTCTGCATTTAGGAGATATTGTGCCAATTGATTTGTCCTGCAAGTTGAATCCATTCGGTCAAACTAGCACAAGGTTGGAGGATTCAGTAACAATGGAATTAACAAGCAGTAATTGGCAAAAAAGCAGCACTTCAGATAAAATCATAGTAGAAAACAGTTACCCTGCACATTTTATAAGTTTATTTATGTAGCACTTCCACATTTCATGCATTTGCTTGTAGATCTCATACCTAGGAAGTAACCAAGGGCAGTCAGGAAAAGTGAAGGAGCACAACCAGATTTATATAGAACATAAATATGATATTTGTTCACTGTGATACGATTCTCAAGCACAAAGTTATCTAGGATTCGATCACATGAACCTTAAGCCTATGTTTGGAACACGGAAAATTGTAGGGAAGGGAAATAAGTCTAATGATTTTTTTATGTTTGGCTTTACATTGTAAATTACCCTGAAAACTCAAAAAAGATTAAACCTTTTTAGAATTTAACAAGATTTCTTAGTCTTTGTATAGTGGAAATATATCAATAAAATGAGTTCAGAAAAAAAAGATCCGAAATTGCTATATTGGTCTGGATCAAGTTTACATATCCCACAGGCTTTTTCTCCTTCCAGCTCTCCAAAAATTTCCTCTACTTTTCTCCCCATTTTATTTCCTTGGCATTTTACTGGTTGCAAATGGACACACATAAACCTTCAGCAAAAAAGTACTTAACTTACTTATGAAACTCTGGAGGCAAATCGAATGATTTACATTTTTTATGTTGCTTTAGTGACATGCGGCTTTTGGACCGTTTTGACAGCTTCTTTAAAGCCCGTAAGGAAGCATTGTTAGACATGCTACTTTTTTGGACAACATTATCTAGAAGAATATAGTTGTCTACTTTCACACTTTTGGAACCCTGCAAATACTTCTGTGCTGAATCACCATGTTGAAGAAGCTCATGCAGTACATAATCAACAGTACTTCTACCATTAGCAACCTTGCACATGAAAAAACATAAAATAAACTCTCTAAACTCTAATTAAGACATCTTTAGGATCATGACTAATAGTTAAATCCAAATAATGAGGATTATTACCTCTCCAACAGTTGACAGAAGATTCCCATCAACAGTATGAGAGAGTTGAAAGTATGCTGGGTGCTGTAGTTCTACATCTGTTGCATTATTGCAAAAAAATCTCAGTATACGCAAATTATCACCAAGCAGAAAAATACTTTCATTAGTAATCTCAAAAATCAAAATGAACGGAAGAAGTTTGAATCAGAGTTGTACCTTGTGATGAGGAATGACCTAAAAATGAAATCTTGCCTGAAAACAATAACGGGGTTAACAAAAACCATATGCACAGAAACCCCAAACTTGTACAGGTTTATACCCATAAATAACAGAAAGTCAAACCAGTTTTTGTTTTCTCATGTGCAGATTAATAATTAAGTTAATAACTGAAACTGCTTCTTTAAAAACACACACATTACAGTTATCATAACACTGCTGCCTCAAAACTTGACTACAGAGTACATGCTTAGTAAAGAAAATGGAGCTTATGGAAGCCCTGCTGTCTGGATGATTTACACAACAGCTCAGCCAGAAATTTAGTATTGGATGTTGGATGACTTAAGCTTCACATTCCGACATCACCTATAGATTATAAGTATTTACACACACACAAATTGGGGGGAGGTCCCCTTGAGTCCAGTGAATGAAAAAATTCTCTACACGAGCTCTTCATAATACCCTGAGGAACACGATGAGACATACTTCCTCTGTCCCAACTTAAGTTTCTCACTCTCCTTTTTTAGACGTCCCAACTAAAGCTTCCCATTTCTTTTTTAGGAAATAATTAACACTCCTAAATAACAAACTAATAATCATATATTGAAAACTATACACCAATAACATCACAGTAATCATCAATAACCTTATTTAGTTATATACCCATCAAAATAACTTCTGAAAATATACTTTCATTTTCATTTACCCCAGTGCCGCAAAGGCTCCCACCTACGGTGGGGTAAGGGAACTTCTGAAAATATACTACTCCCTCCGTCCCTAAATTTACTTCCAACTTTCCCTTTTCGTCCGTCCCAAAAAGAACTTCACTTTCCCTTTTTGGCAAAGAATTTGTGGTTCACGGCATTTCTCTCTCCTCTGCACAACTCTCCACCACACAATTCCCACTTTCTAAATCACCCTGGCACTTTAATTTGGAAGAACATTTAGGGACGGAGAGAGTATAATTACCTTATTTAATTATAATCTAAATAAGTGTGCCATTTTTCAATTCGAAACTTAATCCGAGGCAGCAGTAGTAATTTAAGTTAGAATAACTCATCTAACTGAACATGTTGTGAGAACCTCCTTCAAGAATGACATCAAATCCGAAATCAGTAATGAAATGCATTACAGTTCTCAATATCTATTGTGGTTAAGTGAAGTGGGTTTATGCAGTTTTTCCAAACATGCATTAACGCGCGCAACAACCATGAAATTTCCAGAATTCCAGGAACATGATTTCAGAATGGCATACTGGCATGTGAAGAGAACTAGCAAAACTGCAGTGGGTAAACCGAGATGGAGCTTTTATTATCTAGACGTAAAAACTAACCTTTCTTAGGTGTTGCATTCGAAATCAAGGGATGGGAGGAAAGTGGTTCATCATCAATCTTAGAAGGAGATTGATTTCCATGAGGAGTGGTGCTGGTATTAGTTCTTCGCTTCTTGGTCTGGAGATCCTGTTGACGGAGACCGTCGGCTTCCGCTTGAGCAAACCTCCGCTCTAACGCCTCTAAAGCCCGTTTCCTTTGTCCTTCGGGAGCTTTTTCCGTCGCCATAGCGAAGCTGGGAATCAACTTTGACCGACAAACAGAACAGTGGCGTTCTAGAACTAGAAGCTGCTCGCGTGGATAGAGATGATGGAACAGCTTCTTTGTGCTGAGCGACGTTTCTGCAGAATAGCCTCTTTTTTTTAAGAAATAGCTTATATTAAAATCAAACTTAACAAAGCAACAATATGTCCCAAGATCTAAAATCTCCCTCTATCCAAGCAATAACAAAAGCCCTTCGGCCTCTTGAGGAGATGATCGGTCATAAAATAGTTCACCCCGTAAAGAGCGAGACTAATCGCTGAAAGAGAGCATAGAAGCTGCTACCGACTGAGTAAGCCTGATTACTTCCGCCAAGAATTCTACCCACCAAACAAAACCAACACACATACCCTTCCCCCTTATTGTAGGACAAAATAACAACGTGAAAAACAAACAAAAGGTAGATTTTGAACACTTCGCTCAAATATAAGGAATCAATCCATTTTACAATTCGAACTGCAATCTCCTAGCAAGACACTCCTCCTTTTTGAATCGTAATCCTTTGAATAACATTCTTCCTTCAAAGGCATTCTTCCTTAACCTCTTTCTCCATTCAAACGAGACTCCCCCTTCAACCTTAGTTGAAACCTTCTGGCCACTTCAACCATCATGAAGGTCAATCAAGAACCCCATCATTCCTAAGGTTGTGCAAGAACCGTGTCAAACCCGATCAGAACCGGACCGGTTGAACTGGGTCCGGATCGGAATGCAATCCGATCCGTTTTTCGGTTTATGGAATTCAGAAAACTGGTTATCGGTCCGGTTAATAATCGGATGTAATCCGGTTTAAACAGGAAATAACTGATATCTACTAAAAGATCGGTATTCCCAATATCCCAAATCCCATATTTATCCTAAATTCGTAATATTCAGCGGGTCACCAGCCAGACTTCCAGAGTTTCAGTAGCGCATAACCCTAGTCCCTAACTCCAGTCGACTAATTCCAAAGAGCCAAAACTTGGTCCGTTCATCTTCTCTGATCCAACAGCCGGCCTAGCGCACTTATGTCTACTCCTCTCACGCGGTCACACCTCTTCACATAATATGTTGCAGTGCTGCAACGGTAAGCAGCCAAGAAGACGGCGGCCAATGATTCATTCCAATGGTTGAAGAAGATAAGCCTAGCGTAAGCATAGGTTGGTAGAATTAGGGGAAATTAATCATGTTAAAAATCTTCTGAAGAAGTCAGTCTCAAAGCAGAGTAAAGAAATTGAACCAGTAGAAGATCCTCAGAAGTTGAATCCTCTTGCTCCAAACAAAGAAGTTAAGGTAATCATCCATTGAGCCAGCCTAATTACACGCCTTTTGTTTTCTGTGAATTTGTTTGACCGTGTTTGACTATGTTTTTTTACTATATTCTAATGTGAATTTGAACGTGTTTGAAAAATGTTTTTTTTTATTGTGTTCTATCGGGTTTGACTGTGTTCCAGTTTTATTTTATTATGTTAAGTCTGAACCAGTTTGACCTTGTTCTACCGTATTTGACTGTGTTCGACCATGTTTGACTATTAATAATTAGAACACTTATTCATGATATATTTTGTTCAGGTTCTATCCATATCTCCTAATGTTGACATTACACTCTTCCTTAATATGAAAATTACAATAAAAAGTTCATTGATGAAGTTTCACGAAGTGTTGGTTAGGTGACCATCCCGACCTATTGAATCAGTTTAGATCCACTATATTTGGCAAATACTTAGACGTGCAATGTCTCTGTACCAATCCTAATGTGACCTTACTTGGTAGAACAACAGATATTGAAAGAACTTCAGAACTGTGGTTTGTGATGAAGAGAGTTCCAATTCATTACTCTATAAAGGAGTTTGCTTTAATTAGTGGGTTGAACTGCTTTTCTTTGGACAAAGACAATTTTTAGAATGACTATGAAGAGAAAGATCGAGCAAATTTTATTGACACTCACAGGCCATCTGGTCTTCGTGATGGAAGTAGAGATAAAGTTAGTTGTAACACGATTTTAGATCGTTTTCATCATCTTTCTAATCATTTAAACCATCATGATAGAGCTAAGAAAGATGAAGCATGATCTGAAGTGATACGAATGACATCATTTGTGTTTATAGTGATGGTTCTCTTATCCCTAGTCAAGAGGGACAATTCCATTCGTGATTGGATCATTGCACAAAGTCGGTAGCTACTATTTAGACTTCACGTGGGGTACATATATGGGCATTTATGGAGTCTCTTAAGTCGTTGAAAAAGAATTAAAAAAAGAAGATGGATGATACGTGTTTCGTAACTCCTATATCGGTGAGATACTTTTATTTATGACTATTAAATTAAAAAAATTATTTTTAGTATTTGTTGAATTAATTATTTTTTGAATATATCTTTTTAGATCTTGTTGTTGGAGCGTGTGTCTCACTTTACTGAAGATTTTGCTTTCAAAAAAATCAAATTACTCCTGTCTCTCCCCGAATATGTCTTTGAAAGCCGAAAGAGTTCAAGAGATTGCAGAAGGTGTAAAAGTAAGTCATGATAAAATTTCATTCATTTCTCCATTTCAGTAAGTCATATTACAAATAATCACTGCATTGACTAACTTGGTCAACGACGGTCAAACCTGACCGTAGTAAAACATATTCTAATTTATATTTTTTTTTAACTCCAGAGTGTGCAGAGTATTCTTCTTCCTGATTCTTTGGAGGCTCAAACTGAATGGATCACATCATTAAAGCCAATAGAGGAGAACTACCATAACATTGAGATTGTTTCCTATGGTGAAGAACTACCATAATATGAATCAAGTTCTTCTCTAGTTGAAAAACATAGGCATCAATCTCAATGTTATGGTAGTTCTTCTCTATTGGTTTTAATAACGTGATCCATTTAGATTGAACCTCCAAAGAATCATGAAGAAGAATACCATGAACACTCTGGAGTTAAAAAGTTATGTAAATTAGAATATGTTTTACTACGGTCAGGTTTGACCGTTGTTGACCAAGTTTGACCACAGTTGGTCAATCCATAGTGATTATTTGTAATATGACTTACTGAAATGGAGAAACGAATGAAATTTTATAATGACTTAATTTTACACCTTCTGCAATCTCCTGGACTTCATGATTATTTAAGTTCTTTTATTTCTTTCGGCTTCCAAAGACATATGCGAGCAGAAACAGTAATAGTTTGCTTTTTTTGAAAGCAAATTCTTCCGCAAAGTCCGGCACACGCTCCAACAACAAGATCTAAAAAGATATATTCAAATAATAATTAATTCAACAAATACTAAAAATAAAAATTTTAATTTAATAGTCATAAATAAAACTATTTCAACGATATAGGAGTTACAAACCCGTATTGTATAATGCTGGAGTCACATTTTGATGCATAATCTCATCCATCTTCCTTTTTAAATCCTTTTTCAACGACTTAAGAGACTCCACAAATGCCCATGTACCACATGGAAAGTCTAAATAGTACCTATCGACTTGTGCGATGATCCAATCAGGAATGGAATTGTCTCTCTTGACAGGGGCTAAGAGAACCATCACTATAAACACAAGTGATGTCATTATTATCACTTCAGATCGTGCTCCATCTTTCTTAGCTCTATCATGATGGTTTTACAAAGATGGTGAAAACGATCTAAAATCATGTTATAACTGACTTTATATCTACTTCCATCACAAAGAACAAAAGGCCAATGAGTGTCAATAAAATTTGCTCTATCTTTCTCGTCATAGTCATTCTAAAAATTATATTTGTCCAAAGAAGCGCAGTTCAACCCACTAATTAAAGCAAACTCCTTTATAGATTAAGGAATTGGAACTCCCTCCATCACAAACCACAATTCTGAAGTGCTTTCAATATCCACTATTCTACCAAGTAAAGGCCACGTAAGGATTGGTGCAGAGACATATTGTATGTCAGGGCCGGCTAGAACAATTATGAGGCCCTAGACGGTCATGTAGAAATTTTGTTTTAAATATGTTTTATTTAACCCAATGATATAAAAAATAGCAATTAAATATAAGTAAATTACATATAAAATACATCATATACTATTAACACAGTGAGAATATTCTTCGAAATCAGAAGATCAAAGTTGATGAAAAAATACAAAGAGCCCTAGAGGGAGAAGGTTTTGTGCTTACATACAACATACCGATCGATAGAGCCGGAAAGTGATTTCATGACCAAATCATTTCTTAATTTTTTTCTTTGTCTTTGTACATCTTGATTCATATTTTGTTTTCCAATCATCACAAAACATAAAATTTCATTCAAAATAGTACTATCACTAAATATAAGTTAATGGTTCATAGATATAAATTTAATTCACTAAATTTAATCAAATATAAAAAATTATAAGTATGTTCAATATTTCGATGAATCAAAATAACAAATTACAATTTCAATTATTCAATAAGCATTCAAATATATTTAGAATACTCATTATCCTAAATCCCTAGCCCTACTACCCTAGCCAACAAAGAAAAAAAGGAAAAAGGAGCAAATAAGCCCACATACTAACCAAAAAGGTCAAATAAGCCCTTATATAAGAGACTTTGTCCCACCGTCACCATTTGGGGCAGTTCCCGGGTGGAATTTTTTGATGAAATTTTTTTAGAATCTTATTCATTAAGTCTTGTTTACTTGTACCAAATTTCAGCTAACAATTCAACATGGAAGGCATTAAAATAAATTCTTGAAGATAACTGCGCTTTTAACTGCGCAGTTATCTTCAAGAATTCATTTGAATGTCTTCCCGATTGAATTTTTAGGTGAAATTTGGTATGAGTAAACTAGACATAATGAATAAGATTCTAAAAAACAATCATCAAAAAATTACAAAGGAAACTATCCCAAATGTTGACGGCCGGACAAAGTCTCCTAAATAATATTAATAAGCTTATTTTATAAATTAGAGGCCCCTAAAATTTGGAGGCCCTAGACACTTGTCTAGGGTAACTCCCCCTATGGCCGGCCCTGTTGTATGTCTAAGTATTTTCCAAATATAGTGGGTCTAAACTGATTCAATAGGTCGGGATGGTCACCTAACCAACACTTCATTTCTGCTTGAAACTTATTCAATGAACTTTTTATAGTAATTTTC